GGGCAGAGAAAATGAACCCAGGTTGGCCAGGTCGGTTGCGTACAAGGCAAATGCCTTACCCACTATGCTATTGCTCCAGCCCACAGTAAGAGATAACACTTGTAGGGCTAGTGTTATCCCTACAAGAGATAACTGTTTGTAGGGCAGCTCTCCTGGGAACATCCTACCACAGACTCAGACTACAGCGCTCAGGTCAGATTAATCATTCCTAACCCTAGCAGGGTCCAAATCTAGTTATTATTTTTGGATCATGACAGCATTTGTCCATGACCAAGCTCTTAACTTATAGTTAAGCATTATGGCACCTTGGCCAGGCCCATCTCGATGCCAGGGTAGCACATAGCTTACCACTTGCCCTGGTTCCATCCAGTCCCTTGTCGGTACCCTGCTTTTGGGGGCTGTAGGAAGTAAAGGAAGCTGAGGCTTAGGTGAAAGAACAGATACCCAGGAGGGAAATATTACTGAGAGTCACATTACAAAAGCATGCCTTCTTGTGTCCATACAAAAAGGACATTGCTCTGAATAAACTATGCAAAGGACTTAGGGAGAAGAGAAAAACAATATTTACAAGTCAACAGAGCACAAAGAAAGAAGTTAGAAATAAACAGAGAAATGGAAGCACTGTGATGGGAGCAACCCAATAAACCTAAACTACCTGAGGCTATGCAGAAAGGACAGAACAGTGTTATCCTACACAGGAGCATCACCTATTGATTCTCTGGGGAAGAAGAAGATACCACAGAGCAGAAATGAGGTAGAGAGGTATGGATGCTTCATTCACCTATTCTTCAAATTGTCTGCAGGAACATGAGTAGGCCGAACCCCACTCAGCTGCCATGTCTGAGAGCAGAAACCCTGCTTTTCAAGGCTAGAAGTTGAGCTCTCTTATGGCCTCACAGGTCAACACAGACTCACATGCCACTTGTTGTCCATCTACTGTTGACAGAGCACAGAAGTTTCTTCTTGTGTGACAGATTCCTTTCACCTGGTGGAAAGGCGACCTCACTAACCATCAGACTCAGGGCCCTCTCTTCCAATGCAACAGGGCAGTCAGACTCTATCTGTTCATCTATACATGGTGAGAACAACAGCCAATGCCACTGTTTGCACAAAACCCGGTGGTGCGGGGGAAACGGCAACATAAGAAGTCCAAGATTCATAAAGGCAAGCTGCTTACTGAAGAATTAGTCAAACTTCAGTTTAATCACTGGGCTGTCATGTGACCAAAGATATAGGAATTGCTACATTAGTGGCTAAACTTGATAACTTGATTACTTGACTTCCCGTTGATTGTCAATTTGCTCGAGCGGGTGACAGTAACGTCTCCATTTGTCCCTGTCGCGTGCTAGTGTAGCCCAATGGCATCTGTTCACTCTAGGAACACAAAGAGCCTCAAACCGATCGTTCATGATCTAGATGAAGAAGTCTGACCATTTGGTAGGTGGGCGGCCACGTGGTCTTTTGACATCCCGTGGAATCCAGTCGGTAACGGCTCTAGTCCAGTGGTTGTCTCTAAATCTCATTACGTGACCAGCCCATCTGATTTTTGACACCTTGGCAAACGAGACAGCATCCCTGATTCTTGATCATCGACGGAGGTCTGAACTCAGGATTCTTTCTCTCATTTGATTGAAACGTGATATTCCAAGCATAGCTCTTTCAATTCCTCTTTGAGAGACCCAAATAGCGTTCTCATCCTGTTTGCCTAGGGCCCAGGTCTCTGAGGCATATGTTAATGCAGGAAGAACAGTGGAATCAAAGAGATGTGCCCGGAGCCAGAGGTTCTTCGTCCTCTTAGCTATTTCTTCGATGCTCTTGAAGGCATTCCAAGCCGCTCTCTTCCTCCTGCACAGTTCGGGTGCCAGGTCATTTGTCATGTTGATTTCTCTACCTAGGTACACATAGCTGTTGCATTCAGAGATGTTGAGAGCAAATGGAGCATCAGGAATGAGGCTGTTTCTCATAAACATTGTCTTCATAAGATTCAGCTGTATTCCGACCTTTCCACACTCACGGTCGAAGTCGGCCAGCATTTGTGCCACTTGGCTGATGTTTGGTGTTATTAAAACAATGTCATCAGCAAAGCGGAGGTGGTGTAATTGCCGACCATCTATCTTCATTCCCATTCCTTCCCATTCCAGTCATCGCATGATGTTCTCAACAGTGGCACTGAAGAGTTTTGGTGAAATGGTATCACCCTGCCGAACCCCTCTCTTGACATCAGTGATTACTTCTTTGTAGAATGGTGAGATCCCGGTAGTGAATCCATAATACAGCTCACGGAGGATCTTGATGTATTGAGTTTGAATGCCCTTGTTGGCTAGGGCTTCAATGACCGCTTCTGTCTCAAGAGAATCAAGGGCCTTCTTTAAATCAATGAACGTTAGACAGAGCAGCATCTTGAACTCCCAAGAAACCTCAATGAGCTTGATTATCGTGTGGATATGGTCGATGGTGCTGAATCCTTTGCGGAACCCGGCTTGCTCGCATGGTTGTCCTTCATCTAGTGTTCTGCCAATACTATTCAGGATGACTCGAGTGAACAACTTGTAGATGACAGACAATAGGCAGATCAGGCAATAGTTGCCAATGTCATGGATGTCTCCCTTCTTGTACAGTAGTACAGTCCTGCTGGTTTTCCATTGGGACGGAATCTTGCATTCAGACAGGTAGCATGTGAAGAGCCGAGCCAGTGTATTGATGAGTGCTGACAGCAGGTTATTCAGGTGTTCAGGTCTGACCTTGTCTGGGCTGGGTGCTGTTCATTTCTTTACTGACGAAATGGCGTGTCGGATTTCGGAAGGGAGAACATTGGGAACGACATATCCATCCTGTGGAATGTCGGCAGGTGGACATGGCTATTGAAGAGATTTGAGTAGAAGTCATGGATAATCTTCTCCATTGCTGTTCTGGAAGACGTGATAGATCCATCAGGACATTGGAGGGCAGTCATCTTGGTCTTGTAGTTGGCGAAGGATAGGCGGGTGTTACAAATACTTTTCCCGGCTTCTGCCGCATCTACTAGCACTTCTGCTCTTCTCTCTTTGAGGTCTTCCTTGATCGCATCTCTGCACTGCTTTGTGAGCTCTGATGTTCACTTGTGGTTGCCTGAGGCATGTGTCAAACCACATTGGTGAATAAGCTCAAGAGTTTTCGAAGACAGGCTTTTTTTTGTGGCTATCACTCTCTTGGCGCTCCTCGCACAATGTGCGAGTGGCTAGACTATAGAAAGGAAAATTAGAGCTGATAAGGGCCCTAGATCATACTTCTGAATTGTTTATTGAGCCATGCAAAGACTGTGTTTCTAAGTTTAGGGAAGGTCTCAAAGGATGGAGTCAAGACACTATTGTCGCCTTTTTTTGAGGACCCGCTTCATGTTCAACTCCACCCATCTGCTAACCTATCCTCAGGCATGAGAAAGGTAAAAATGACCATCCCCGACCCCCCTTCCACCTTTGAAAGGGGGTATACACACACACACACACACTCACACACACCAAAATCAGACACTTAGAAGCACAACATTTTAATGAGTTAAGCTGGAATTTAGGAAATATATTTTCCAGTTATAAAAAAAGGATAGACCATAGACTGAGGTCCATATGTCCCTGGACTGAATGGGTTGTTATGTGAATAAAAACACATAACACTGGGAAACTGAACAAGAAATATGGAAAAACCACTTCTTCCTCAGTCTTAACTACTATTCATTTGGGCCTGTGGAGCCACAGTAGCAAAATCACCAGCACCATTTCCAGAGGGCTGAGCCAGGGCCAGGCATTGCGTGAGTTCTCAGCAGGCATTCCTCCTTTAATCATCACAGAATTCTTGAGCCTGGAGACAATCACTTCCTCATCCCACCCCTGAGGAAACTGAGGCATCACAGAGGTGAAGTACAGTGACTGAGGAGCTGCAGTCGGGAAGTGGCACCAGGGCTGAACTCCAGCTTCTAACCTAGTGCATTAAAGAGCAGAAGCAGCACTGCAAACAGCTCCCAGGAGCTTCCAAAGACACATTTAGTTCGACACACACCTTCTTCAGGCAAATCACTGAATTTTGCTACACAGGGAGGCTCACCTGTCTTGCCCAAACACTTCACAGATCACTTATAGAAAAGCTTTGAAAACAGTAAGGCATTTATTAAATACCATGTTATTTTCATAAAAGAACCAACCTTCCACCCACACCCACAAAACTACACACACATATACATATACACACACACATACACACACACTCACACCAAAATCAGACACTTAGAAGTGCAACATTTTAATCATCTGGCTTGAATGGAAAAACATACACTTTATTGTCTCACAAATAAATCCTTTCACAAAAGGTACTGATTTTCTTTTTAAAGCAATCTTAAGCAATGAAGGACTCAGGTATGCATGTGCTAAAACTTGAACTGGCCTTTGGAAGGAGCAGTCCTGTTTTAAATTCAACACAGACACTGGTCTGAGTATTTATCCTGACTGGAAAAAGTAAGCATTTCCCTGCTATGGTCAATCTTGACCAAAAGAACTCGCTACGATAATTTTATACCCTCCATCTGTGCAATACAAGAATGGTGTTGGGGAACAAACAATACTTTCTCATAAAAGTTAAATATAGTGATTTGCTTTTTATTACCATCAGCATCATTAGTAGCAAGGTCAGTTCCAGGCAACATAAAAGGGGATGTTTTACATATAAGACACCTGCATGTAATGTAGCAACAGTATTTTAAGAAATCTACTTCTGATCTACTAAAAAGGGGCCACACAGTTAAAAATTATACAATGCAAACAATGCAACCCTCCAGTAATTAAAAACAATGAATTATTAAATTAATGTGGGGCATCTGAGTAATTTGGGCTTTCAAGTTTAAATCCTATTTTATCCTTATATCTAAAGATCATGAAACATACACACACACACACACACACACACACACACACAGAGAAACCTAAAAACACCTGCAAACACCTACCCCTAGATATCTATCCCGTTTGTTGTGGCTTGGGGACCTGTTCCCCAGGAGGTGAAGAAAGGAGGGGCACCATCATTCTAGCATGTGCTGGAGCAATGAGGGGTCAGCCTCCACTGCCCGGAGACCACGGTGCAGGCTCTGGAAGGTGGCCTGCTTGCCGTAGCGCTGCCTCCAGCGGACGAAGGCCTCCACCATCTGTGCGTGCACACTGTGAGGATGGTTGGCCTTGCAGCGGTAGATGTCAGTATGCGTCAGTCCCAGAGCCAGCACTACCGGCTCCCATTCTTCGCCCAGCCGCTGGGCCAGTTGGTTAATCTGTCGGTCTGTTGGGGAGCTGTTGAGGACATGAGCCGGGATCCCAGCCACGTGGTCATCTGGGGAGGAGAGAAACAAAGAGAGACAAAGAGTTGGTCTCTGGGTTGAGAACAACAAAGAGACAAACTACAAAAAATGTGGAGACTCCATACAAAACTCCTAAATGGCAGAGAACAATGTTTCCCTTTTTTTGGGGGGGGGAGGGTGGGATGCTCTGGGTGAATATGTCAGAAGTTTAAGAAATACCATTTAGGGCTGGAACAATGGTACAGCAGGGTAGGGAGTTTGCCTTGCATATGGCAGACCAAGATTCAATCCCCAGCATCTCATATGTTCCCCTGAGCATGCCAGGAGTGATCCCTGAGCACTGTCAGATGAGGCCCCAGACAAAAGATAGAAAAAATGAAAGGAAGGAAGGAAAGAAGAAAGAAAGGAAAGAAAAAAAGAAAGAAAGAAAGAAAGAAAGAAAGAAAGAAAGAAAGAAAGAAAGAAGGAAGAGGAAAGAAAGGAAATACCATTTAACATCTATGCAAATTCATTGGCAAAAATCTAAAAACAAAAATGAAAACTAGAAATCCCATCTGAGACCCCCACCTTTGTGACAATCTGATCTATTTTCTTTCGGTCTGGGCCTATCAAACATACATTTAGGATGGCATTGCAAGCACCTGCTAGTGCTGCTGTTGCCACAGATGGTGCCCACTCATTTTTTCAAAGAGAGCAAACAGAGGATTCTGGGGCTGCTTCAGAGTGCCTTTGTGGGCCTCTGCCCTCTCTGGCTCTGACCCGTGGGTGCTGATACACCATTCCCTCCCTGAGCAACAGCTAGTGCTTGAGACTCCCACTTAATCAGAACAGCCACTCTCTGCTGATCAACTTGGACCCTGCCAAGGAAAGTTGTGATTCTAAGGGAAGCAGGAGCCAAGCGAAAAAATAAGATGTAGAGGCCGGGAGGTAGCAGAAAGTGAGGAAAGCTGTGTGTGCTGCACCAGCGCAGGCCCAGAAGGACAGTCAGCATCCTGGCAGAGGCCCAGAGAGGAGGAGAAAGTCAGTGTGGCCAGGTGCAGGGAGCTAAGACGGATTGCTTAGTGAGTGGGTGACAGTTGGCAGAGTGAGCACAGTCCTGAGCTGGCCATGGGGTATGGCCATGACGCAAACCTTCCAGGGGAAGGAGGGCCCAGCCCAGGCCTGTGCATGAGAAACAGGAGCCCCTGGGAGAATAGGGAGGGAAGTGTTTTCTCACCAGGGGAATTCTACGTGTGCAAAGGTGCCAAAGCGGGAGAACAGGGATACTCAAGGAAGTGAAAGAAGTTCACTGTGGTAGGGAGAAAGACAGACAGGGACAGGAAACATTGAAAAGAATGGTGTTTTATATAATACATGTGAGAATTTGGTATCATATTTTCCTCATTTTTTTTCATGACCAATGTTAAATTTCTCAAAAGAAAACGTCAACTCCAAAATATTGTTAGTACCCAGGAGAGATTAGCCTAGGATTTACATTTTTTCTAGAGTCATTGAAAGTACCTTAATTTAGAATTAAAGCTTTACATATAAAATATATTAAGAATAATAATAATTTAAAAAAAGAATGGTGTTGTGACACTCGCCATAGCCATGCCACCGGATTCTGTGCAAGACTCTTTTACTCAGGGTGCCCTGCAGGGAGGGCAGGTGAGACCCCTCCCTGCCCCAAGGGACCCAGCCCCGGGGAAGCCCAGTGAAAACTTCAACTCAGTCACCACCATGCTCACAGCGGCTCTCCACACACTCAGGCTGAGCATCACCCACAAGTGCATCTATTTACTTTAAAGTACATATTCTACCCATACTCCAGGATTACTGCACCACATTTGAAGGTCCCAAAGTAAGAGGCAACCAATTTTAAAGGGAAATATACATTTTTTACAAATATATATATATATATATATATATATATATATATATACACACACGCACACACACACACAAGGCTCAATCTTTAACAACATGTTAGTGATCTCTTACAGAAGGGTTTAATGGCCTCCGGGTGAAATACAATAATCCTCACACTCTTTCCTCTAAGGATACTTTTTTCTAGCATTCTCAGCAGGTTTTCATAACAAACAATACAAAACATATTATTTCGGTTCTGTTTTGGGGAAGGGATTGGAGTTCGGGATGGAAACATCCGAAATACGGTAGTGGGAAGGTGTAATGGTGGTGGGATTGGTGTCTGAATATAAATGTAATCAAATATTGTGAACTACTTTATAAATTAAAAAAATTTTTTTGAAAAAAGAAGAAAAGAATGGTGTTGGTTCCAGTTACTAAGGAGACCTCGAGGAGAAGTGCCATTTCTGTCTTCCTTGCTGGGGTATCTTGGGCATCGCTGTACTACACTGACTGTCTGCAGCAAGCAGCATAGTGCGTCCATTTCACTTCATGCTCACCAGCAGTTCTGGCTCATGAACTGTACACTGAGGGGTCCACTAAGCAGAACAGTCATTTCCCACCACAGACACTGCTAGCTGCACAATGTTTGCCAATACCTCAAGGCCTGCAGTGTAAGTGCAATTGCCAAGTATGCTTCCTGCTGTTTGTCAGGACTGCAATAATAAAAAAATGTCTAAAATGTAATTAGAATAACATTTCTATACTGATCAATATTTTATTATGCTAATAATGGTGATTTTATGGGCTTTACAAAAGATGGGTTCATTAAACAGTCTCAAGTCACATAAAAAAGTTCAAAGAAGACAAATTAGCCAAATCAGTTCACCATTGTGTTTACAGTTGGGGGATATCATTCTGGATATCACTGGACATGCTGTTAGAAGGATAATATAATGATGTTTTATATTTCTCTCCCAACAAAAGTCCTTTAATTTGATTGCATGTAAGAGAAGAAAAAGAAACAAAAATCAAATGGCTTTCTGAAATGCTGTCAAATATACATGGAATACTGAGGAAAAATATGAAAGTGCAAGTGGTAAATACATATTTTATTATTTTATTGCTTAATAATCATCATTTTCAATTTCCTTTCCCTGTCACACCTGATGTTTTTTCCTCATATCTTAATATTATCTCAAACTTAAAATTTATATTCTTCTATAATAGTAACTTCCTCAGGTCATTTATTTAATATCAATGACACAACCATTTTAAAATTTTTAACCTCACAAGCAGTGCTCATGGGGCCTCCCAAGCAGTGTTCAGAGAGCCAGGAGTCCTCTTTCAGTGATTTCACCCTGACAGGCTGGCAGTTCACTGGAAGCGCCTGAGGATGCAGTGCTGCTTAATCCTGGTGGTGTTGGGATCTCCAAAGTGCTGGGGACCCTCCCTATCAAATGGTGCTTGGAGTTTCCAGGATCAAATCCATAGATATGTGGACCATGTGATGCCAACATTAGAACTGAGGGATTGACTCATGCAAGGCAAGAGCCCTAACCCTTGTATCATCTCTCTGACTCCTGATCTCAATTTCTTTTCTTGGCTCTTCAATATGTCATTTAACATTCCGGGCTGAGGCAATGGGTCAGAAATGGATTAGAAAGAGCTTCTTTGCATGTGGGTGTCCCAGGTTTGATATTTGGTACAATATGGTACCCCAAACACTATTGAAAACTCCCTACCCCCAGTAAATTAAAGTGAAAAAAAGAAATGTCATTCCACTTCACATCCAATAGGCTGGCCACTATTAAAGAAAATAACTAAAAAGGTAAGTGATGGTGAGGACGGGAGAAACTGAAACCTGTGTATGTTATTGGCAGCAGTGTGAAATGGTATAGCTCCTGTGGAAAAATAGCAGGGTAGTTTCTCAAAAAAAATTAAAAATAAAATTACCATATCAAAAAGATCTAAAACAGGTGCTGGTGTGTTGTGATGAAAAAGAACCTCATACAGTGTTAGTGGGAGTATAAATTGGTCCAGTCTTTACAGAAAATAGTACAGAGAATTCTCAGTACATTAAAAATAGATTAATTATATTCTAACAACACCCCAAAATTCTGTTCCTAGGCATCTATCCCCAAACCACTAATTTGAATATATATAATATATAACTGTATTATATATACATATATAAATAAAACAGTTCTATTTGTTCTATTTACAGTAGCTAAAATCTGGAAATGAGACTCAAGTGCCCAATGACATGAATACAAAGATGTAGTATACAGACATACACACACACACACACACACACACACACACACACACACAAACAGGAATACTACTCACTTATAAGAAGAGATAAAATAATGCCTTTTGGGACAACATGAATAAAATTTATGTTAAGATAAATAAGGGGGAGCATGTTAAGTTAAATATAGGGAAAGGACAAAGGCAAACACTGGATCACCTTTCTCATACATGAGATATAAAGAACAAAGCAAGGCAACAGATAAGTGAACACAAGATCTTGGACTCTGACCCTGATACTGAGGTTACCAACAAGGGAGGGGGAGAGAGGGAGAAAAAGATTAAATGATGGAGAGGTCTAAGAGAGTCAGTCAAGGGATATTGATACTTGGTTGGTAGGCATAGCATGGTGAATTATATTTTAAAGAGACATGAAATAATGTTCCTAAAACATATACTGTCTTGTAAAATATAATATCAGTAACAATATTTAAGTAAATAAGACAGAATTACCACATGACCTGAAAATTCCAGTTCTGGATTACAGACTTCAAAGAACTGAAAACAGTGACTTGAAGACACTGGTATACCTAGCATTGCTCACAATAGTCAAAAGAGAAAGTAACCTATGAGAGTAAAAGATATACAAGACTTCATATACATATATATTAAAGTATCATGCAACTTTACCGTCACTGTCACTGTCCTCCCGTTGTTCATCGATTTGCTCGAGCAGGCCCAGTAACGTCTCCATTGTGATATTTGTTACTGTGCTTAGCATATCGAATACGTCACGGGAAGCTTGCCAGGCTTTGCCGTGCGGGCGAGATACTCTCGGTAGCTTGCCGGGCTCTCCGAGAGGGGTGGAGGAATCAAACTCGGGTCAGCCATGTTGGCCGCTTGTAAGGCAAACACCCTATCTGCTGTGCTATTG